TCATTCGCCGGGCCAGGCCACTGACGGGATACTTGGAGCGCATCTTGCGAACTGCTACGCTGGGCTATCAGAAAGAGAGAGAGAGAGAAGAAGAATATCAGATAGGTTAAGGGGATTTTGAATGCAAAATGAAAATACTAATTTTGCTATTGAAAAGGAAGACGAGGGGGGTTAAATGGCCAAAATTATGTTGAAACACCCCTACAGCTTGAACGGATGGAAGAGTTCCATCGTCCTACAATCGTTCGTGTGACTCGAGAGCTGCCTGATCACACATCAGTACTCAGATTGTTTACACGATCATGCCCTCAAGGAAATATATTATTTTTATTAGAAAAGTTCCTCATGATATGCTCAACAGAAATAACTGTATATAGCAGAGAATTGATCTGAAAGAATGCAACTCTACAAGACAGGAGTAATCACTAGGCTGCTACAGAATCCATCAAGAAGTGCTAAACCGAAAAAATCTTAAACCCGAACTAACTGGAAGAAGCTGAAGCTAATCCTCCCATGGCAGTCACTGTTGACATAAATTTGCAAAAATATACATATGTACTAGGCGGCCCAAAGTCTTTTGTCTACCGGATCATTATCGGATTCCAATCCTCCATTACAAACGTTTTCGGCTTTAGTTGCAAACTAAGCCTCGCGTGGTGTGTTAACAGAAATATTCGCAGTTATCTAAAAGAGAGAGTTTTAGAATTATTTAACTCGCGTTGACATTGCGCAGCAGAAAAAAATTTGTGTTCAGTAATAGGGCAAACGACTGTTTTTCATGTTTGTGCGTTCGTAATAGAGATATTACGAGATGGGTTCAAACATATTTAAGATTAAATTCGACAGAAAAGAGGAGAGGATTTTGAATATGAATTGTGCTCTTACGCGTTCAAAATGAGTAAATAAAAAGAATACTTATCATCACGACTACTAAAATATCTGATCGAGAATATACAATGACGCGCACTCTTTGAACAGGAGGCAGGGTTACGTCGTACTGGTTGGTTTCAGTTTCGGTTAAATAGGGCATTCAGGAGGAAACGATCAGCTCTAAGATGCAACACATGAACTGAATGGAATAAAATAATATCTGCCAAACGGATTGCAAGGCCTCACGGGCAAAAAAGATTTGCCATGCTGTTCAAATGACCAAGTTCAAGAAAAACTCAGATTAGATATAATAATCGGCATTCACTTGGTGTTACTCCAGTTCTCTAAAGAAGAAACTCAGTTTCTACAGTTTTCACAGCGAGAAAAAGTAACTGTTGCTATATCGGTCCGGAGGCGCGCTGTACAGAGCAAGGTTTTCACTTAACGGTTGAAGAGGTAAAAGCTGCGCAGAGTCGATATTTGTCCAGGCAGTCACCTGCGCCCACTTGTTCCGATTACCGGACAAAATACAGACGTTGCACTTTTTATTTGAGTCTCAGTATAGAACGCACTGGCGGTGGCATAACGATGAGAAGTCAATTGTTAAAGAGCTTGCCGACAAAAAGAGACACAGGACAATCTGTGGTAACAATAAAAATTTGTCGCCCACCTTAGATACTTCGTGTCTCTAGTCCTGTGTTTTTTAGTATTGTTGGTTTTATGTTATTCTAACTTTTAGTTTATTATTTAGTTTATAAATTTACTCGTATGTTTAGTTAGCTTTTTAGCTTAGTAAGATAGACCAACATGAGATAAATATATCTAAATAATTGCTGTTTACTAAACTATGCTAACTAAAATTAGCTAAGCTAGACAAGACAAACTTTAATAAAAAATAAACTAAACCAAAAATTAAACAAATGAACTAAAAACTTAACCTAACTTATGCCACTCTTCCCGTAAGACAGAATTCTAGGGCAAGGGGTAACTAAGGTGGGTGACCAACTTTATTTTTACCGAAGCTGTAATAGTCATGTTGGCTAATTTGGCGGACGAAAGTTGTCCAAAACTACGTCCCAAGAATTCTTAACCATACCACCCTATCCACTACGCCTTCGATTCACGCGTTCTCTTTCAACGGCGTTCGAAATCATTAAAATTGCGTTAAATTGCTGGTCGAAGACCCAGTCTAATCGCATATAGGGTATGGCCCCCCGACTTTGCTTTGGATCTGACACCATGTCCCATTTAGACACATTCTGTAAACTGGAGAAACAAACAAGTTGCTGAATTTGTCGGGCAAATTGTCACATCTTAAACACTGTCTGCGCAAATAAACGCTCAAGAAAAGCATTATTTGAGCCAGGACCGTTTAAGCCTTTGTCAAATAAGCAGTATGCCGCATAAGCAATTCTGCAGCTACCACAGCCTTCTTCTTCTCTTCACGAAGCCTGGTCAAATGTTATATGTTGATGCACTTTAAAACTGGATTACAATTCAGACTTTCTCCCCACGTACAAAAGCAGGTTCTATCATGCTTGATGTC